TCTGTCTAGGCTGTGGTGATCCTGTTTGATCAGTGTATTATATTTTCTGTCTAGGCTGTGGTGATCCTGTATGATCAGTGTTTTATATTTTCTCTCTAGGCTGTGGTGACCTTGTATGATCAGTGTATTATATTTTCTGTCTAGGCTGTGTTGACCCTGTATGATCAGTGTATTATATTTTCTGTCTAGGCTGTGTTGACCCTGTATGATCAGTGTATTATATTTTCTCTCTAGGCTGCGGTGACCCTGGCTAAGAAAGTGAGGTACCGGTACGGTGGAGTATCTATATAGAGGAGACGGAGACCTTCCACTTCCTGGAGCTCAATCCACGTCTACAGGTGGAACATCCGTGTACGGAGATGGTGGCAGACATCAACCTACCGGCCGCACAGTTACAGGTAAAGGAAAAACGATGACAGATTGCCATCACTGTTTTTTGAATTCAGAAATTTTTGTTTTTTTGTAGTTGTAGTAGATGCATATTAGGATGAAATAAAGATTCTCTTGGAAAATTAATTTCCATTTGTGGAATATTTTTTTTAGTCAAATTGTGTCTCCAAAAAATAGAACATACATCTGCTCCTTTGCTTCCTTTAGATTGCTTAATTTTTGGCAGATGCAGGTCATTATAGAAACAAATACCTGAACATATTGATTTACATACTGGAATAATTTTGTTTCGGATTCATGTTTCATTCATTCATTATCAGCTGTTTGTGTACCATGTGACCTTTATGTTTAGTGTTGTGCATGACGTCACGTATTTGTGTGTTCTTATTAAATGATTAAATTGACTACACGTGTTTTCGATGGCTCGTCTAAACATGGTGTCAGAAGTGGGATTTCAGTAATTTTTCCTGCATATTTAGCGGACAGATAGATTAAGCCGAAAACAGAACCATGCCTCGTTTCAACCCCCCGGAGAGTTTTAACTTCAGCAACCCGACAGAGTGGCTCGACTGGAAGGAGAGATTTTCGCGCTTCAGAATGGCGTCGAAGTTGAACAAAGATGACCCCGAGGTCCAGATCAGCGCACTCATCTACGAGATCGATTAGTGATAGGAATTTCTGACAAAGAACTCTCGGAGAAATTACAGCTCAGATCAGACCTGACACTCGAGAAAGCAGTAGAAATTGCGCGGCAATCAGAAATGGTTAAATCACAGATCAAGGACCAGAGTGTGTCAGCTACAAATGTGGAAGCAGTCCGTAAGCATAGTGCTACAAGTCAAAAGTCCGAGGAATTTTAACACTGGCCGAGGCAGAGGTCGAGGACACAGACACTCAGGTGGGCGTGGTAGAGGTAACCATCACACCACAGGACAAGGTCAAGGCAAGTGCAACAAGTGTAATCTACGACATGCAAGGGATCATTGTTTCGCTAAGGGAAAACAGTGCAGACGGTGTCACAAATATGATCACTTTGCCGTGTGTTGTAACCAGAATAGCATAGCGGAAATAGTACATCCAGAACCTGGAGGATTGTATGCGGAATCAGGATTCCTTGGCTCGATCACTACTTGTTATGACGATGAAGCAGCATGGAAAGTGAACCTGAAAGTCTCTGGGAAAACTATACCGTTCAAGATCGATTCAGGAGCAGATACCTCAGTCATGCGTGAATCAACTTACTGTGAGCTTCAGTACCCACCGAAACTGAAATCAGCCAACACTGCTTTGTTTAGGCCTGTAGGACGAATTGACTGTCTTGGAGTTTTCACAGCTGAGACTAACTTTAAGGACCAAAACTTTGCGTTTCCAATTCATGTTATCAGAGGGACAAGCAACCTTTTAGGACGATCAGCTGCACACAAGTTTGGACTTATTAAGAAAGTTGACAGTGTTGAATCAAGTTTGTTCGGAAGTTTCGGACTAGTGAAATGTGAGCCTGTAAAGATAACCCTTAGAAATGACGCTAAGCCGTACTGTTTAACAACTGCCCGTCGTATCGCATTTCCACTGATGTCAAAGGTAGAAGCAGAATTGAACAGACTCGAGAAAGAGGGCATCATCGAAAAGATGGAGAGGCCAACGGACTGGTGTGTGCCTATGGTGCCAGTACTGAAAAAGAACGGCAATGTAAGGATTTGTGTTGACCTAAAGAAACTTAATGAAGCAGTGAAAAGAGAACATTACATGCTTCCAAATCTCGACGATATCTCACCGAGACTAGCAGGATCAACATTGTTTTCAAAACTTGATGCATCGAGCGGGTTTTACCAAATACCCCTACACCCTGATAGCTGTGAATTAACAACATTCATAACACCTATGGGACGTTACTGCTCTAGACGAGTACCATTCGGAATTACATCAGCTCCAGAAATCTTCCAGCGTAAGATGACAGAATTACTACATGGAATCAATGGGGTGGAAGTTATCATTGATGATATTCTGATTCACGGGAAAACTCGCAAAGAACATGATGACAGGCTGGACACAGTGCTACATAGAATCCAGGATTCAGGACTCAAATTGAACCGTGCAAAGTGTGAATTCCGTAAGACCGAGATAGAGTACTTTGGACACGTTATTTCATCTGATGGTATCCGACCAAGCAACAGTCGAGTTGATGCCATCAGACAGATGGAAACTCCAACTAACCTTACAGAACTACGTAGATTCATTGGAATGGTGAACTACCTAGGACGATTCATTCCTGAGCTAGCTTCAGTGATTAGCCCAATGACAGATCTGCTGAAATCCGGAAGTGCCTGGTTATGGGACCAAGCTCAAGCTAACGCATTCAGTCGTGTTAAGGAACTACTTACTTGTGCTCCAGTTCTAACATTCTACGATCCACGGAAGCCAATTGTCGTCAGTGCAGACGCTAGCAGCTTTGGCTTAGGAGCAGCTCTTTTCCAGCAGGAAGGAGACGAATTCAAGCCAGTCGCTTATTGTTCTAGGAAACTGACCAGTGCTGAGCTGAAATACGCTCAGATTGAGAAAGAGTGCTTAGCTTCACTTTGGGCTTGTGAAAAATTCTCGCGTTATGTAGTGGGACTGAAATCATTCAAGTTACTTACAGATCACAAACCCTTAGTTCCTTTGATAAATACGCAAGACTTGGACAAAGCACCTTTGCGCTGTCAGCGCATGCTTATGCGACTACGAGGATGCAGCTTACATGCAGAACACGTTCCTGGAAAACACCTTATTGTTCCAGACACCCTCTCAAGAAGTCCGTTAGGAAAACCAAATGAGGGGGATACTCTTGCTGAGGAAGTCGAATGTTATGTTGACTTTGTAGAGAATTCAAGACCATTGACAGACAAACTACTAGAGCAGATGCAGCAGGCTACAGAGGGATACAGCATCCTTCAAGAGGCAATCAACCATACAAGACATGGATGGCCGAATCACATGAATTCGATTTACAGAAAGGAGTTACGAGACTACTTTGTTACACGCAGTGAACTGTCAGTGTCGAGAGGACTACTTTTGTACCGAAATCGCATTGTAATACCAGAGACTCTCAGAGATGAAGTTCTAAGGAGCATACATGACGGACACCTTGGACTTACTAAGTGCAGAGCAAGAGCCCAGGATTCCGTTTGGTGGCCCGGCATTACTCCGGACATTCGCAACCTGATTAACACTTGTGAATTTTGCCAAACTCACCGACCATCGCAACTGAAAGAACCATTGAAGTATACCCCGTTGCCAAGTCGACCATGGCAGAAGGTTGGTGCAGACTTGTGTGAATTAGATGGAAAACACTTCTTAGTTGTCATAGACTATTTCTCCAGATTCATAGAGATAGCGTTCCTACAGTCAATAACCAGTGCACAAGTTATTGGGAAAATGAAAAACATGTTTGCACGATGGGGAATACCAGAGGAGCTCGTATCTGATAATGGTACACAGTTCACTTCAGAAGCTTTTTACGAATTTGCAGTAAATTACAAATTCCGACAGACCTTTTCGAGTCCTCATTATCCGCAATCCAATGGGGAGGCAGAAAGTGCCGTAAAGATTGCAAAGAGAATTCTCCGCCAGGATGATATTTTTAAGGCATTACTTTCGTACCGCAATACACCAATTGAAGCGACAGGTCAAAGCCCAGCTGAACTCATGATGGGACGAAAGCTACGCACAACAGTTCCTACGCTACCAGAAAGGCTAGACCCAGAGTGGATGGACCATGATGATGTGTATCTCCGTGATCAAAGACACAAGGAGCTTATAAATCCGGTTATGACCGACGTCATAATGTGCGACCATTGGAGGAACTTGAGCCAGGAGATTCAGTCAGAATCAAGACGGACAAGGACAAACTGTGGCTTACGCAAGGAACCGTGCAGGAGGGAGATCCAAACACGCATTCGTACGTCATAGAGACGCCGAGAGGTTCGTACCGCAGGAACCGTCGACATCTGCAGAAGACTGACAAACTTTCGTTTTCTGACCACAGCAAACCTGTAATTCCTGCTGAGACGTTTATTACAGATGCCTACCAAACACCACCAGTTGTTCTTAAGGAATCGCAATCGCCACAACAGGAGCCTAAAATCGCGAGCGACATTCCTAATATTCCACAGTCTCCAAAACCAGGAGTGGTGCAAACGCGCAGCGGACGTGTCGTCCAACGTCCAAAGAACCTTGATGATTACGTTTAAATATAATGACATTTGGTTAAAGATATATGTGTTCTTTTTAAGAAAAAAATGAATGTTTAAGCTTGTTTGAATTGACTATGTTTTTGTAGAGTTGTTTGTATTCTATGTTCACATGAAATATTTAGTACCTTTTAAATTACTCAGATAATGCATGTTCTAGTCAAATGTATATTCTAGTCTAAAGATAATTTTGTTTAAAGTTCTTTGTATTTCCTTAGCTGGGAGGGAAAGATGTTTCGGATTCATGTTTCATTCATTCATTATCAGCTGTTTGTGTACCATGTGACCTTTATGTTTAGTGTTGTGCATGACGTCACGTATTTGTGTGTTCTTATTAAATGATTAAATTGACTACACATGTTTTCGATGGCTCAAATTTTCAAACTATAGTGTCTATTAAAATCAGTTATTGTGTAACTCAAAACAATATATTTCTAGAATACCACTGATACACACGATTCAAAATGTCTACTTGTTTAATAATACTGTGCAATGACATGTAAACACACAGAATGGTTGTATAAAAGAATATATGTACTTAACTGCAATGTTATTTTTCACTGTAAATACATTCTGTACTTAAACACTGTCAGTGTGTTGGTGTCATATTGTCCCACATAGAGATTGTTCTCATCATCCACAGACACACTACGGGGACGGTGTACCCCTTGTTGTTGTGTGAGTAATAGAAACAAAAACTGACCATCCTGATCAAGGAGGTGAACAGATTCAGGGAAACAATCACACACCAGGATGTGACCGAGGACATCAGTACAGATTCCATAGGGACGGAAATCTGACCCCTGACCTGTGTAGGAGAACCTGTGTTGTCCTGATTTATTCACCACCACTACTGCTTTATTATCTGATGTACAGATATCTCCATTGATGTTTTCTGTTATGTAGTGTGGATATCTATACAGTTCCCATCCTTTGCTATCCCTCTGTATATTCTGTAGTTCTTTTCCTGTCTTGTTGTACCTGGTGACTTTACCCTCTCCATACCCATACCTCATCCCCAACAGTAAGTCCCCGTTGATGTGGGAGGAGTGTATGCTGAGTGGTGTCCAGTCTCCAGTTTTAATGAATTCAGTGATTTTATTATCCTGTGTTATCCTATTGATGACTTTCTTGTATTGGTCTGTAAAGATCAGATCCCTGCCCTGTGTCACTGTGTGGTAACCACGATCACCACTGGTTTTTATCTTCTGTATCACATTCCCCTGTAGATCTGTTTGGACAAGATTACCATTCATGTCACTGATCCAGAGTCTGTCTGATTGATCTAGTGATACATGGAATACATTATCAACATCTGGTACATTTAACTCCCTGACCTTGGTGACAGAGGCTGATAGAGACATTGTTTGTTTCTTGTCAGATTTCTTTCTGTCTTCTTTCATCTGTTTATGTGTAAGTTTCACTGATGTATTGTAGACACTTTCAATGGGCCTTATTTCTCTCTTTTCTGCTTTAGTGCTGGGGACATATATTTTACCAAGTAACTTGGTGACATCACCTTTGCTGTATTGACCAGCAGTAAATCCTGGTGTGACTGGTTTTGTTGTCTCTGGTATGGATCGGATCTTTGGTTTTTTCTCAGACATTAATTTCTGGGTTTCTGTAGAGGACAGGCATCTGTGGAGCTCTATGGCAAGGTTATTAAGATAAGTGATGTAATCATCCATGGTCTTGTCTTGGGTTTTTAGATCTTCTAACAGTGAATGCTCTATCTGGTCTAACTGCTTCATGTTCTCAGATATGACTGTGTCAACCAGACTTTTCAGGGTCTCACCTTCAGTCTTCATGGATGTTCTGATGTTGTCCATGATGTGTTTGATTTGTGAGGAATCATTTTTAATTTCTTTCTGTAAATCTTGTGATGTGGGGAGAAAGTACTCTTGAATTTTGGAGATTTCCTGTTGGAAGAGTGTATATTTTTCTGTGTAGACTATTTCAAGATCAACAAATTTATGCCTTTCGTGGTCTCCCATTGTAGCACATTTAGAACATAATGGAATCTGGCATTCTTCACAGAGGATGTCCACATCTTTAGTGGGGTGGATCTTACATTTCTTCACAGGAAGTTGTCGTCTACGTTGCTGGTAAAGGACCACCTCATGGTTCCTGTTTTCTGGACTTTTCAGATGTTCCTCGCTGCATTGTTTGCACAATCTTTGATGACAAGGGTTGCAATAGAATTCACAGTTTCTTTCACATTCTTCAATGCCACATTCTAAAAAGTGCTGGGCCCAGCGGGGAATATCCACTTTAGATAATGCCATCTGGAAAAATAGGAATATATGTTTAAAATTCTAATCTATATTTGTTTTAGAATTGGGGAAAAACAGATATTATTTGTAAACATGTCAACTGTGATATAATAATTATTCATTCAATTTGCTATTCTAGAACACCAATAAGAAGGTATGGTTTCCATACAAATTTTGCCCTGTGATTTTCTAAACAAGAGGCCCATGGGCCACAACGCTCACCTGAACCACCTCGGCCCAATTGTTCTTCAGAGGATGAAAAAGGCACTTTTCCCCATGAAATATGTTTACCAAGGGTAACTTATAGATTAGATTTGTGGCCTCTTTAGTAAATTAAATCCTATAAGAGGAGGGGGTTGTTTCAATTCCAAATGAACCATCTGTTTACTTAATTTGTTTAAGTGCAGAGGCTAGCTTTTAACACACTTTTGTTTAAATATGTTCTCATTTCTCAAGACTGTCACAGGTTTCATAAAATGATTGTATATAATTATATTCATTTTTTATGCTTACCTCCAAAAAAAAAAATGCAGTTTTATGGCTGTATTAAAAATTTTATTTGATTTCAAGAATTATAACAAATCTTTTGTATTATTAAAAGTAAAATGTTACAAATACATGTATATTAGTACAGATTGAATTTTGAGTAGTGTATATAATTTGAAATTCGACATTTAAACTTTGTGAAGAAGCTATCTTAATGAAGGAATGCCTTACTAGTGACAATCCAAGAGCATATATATACTAGTATTGATTTAGATAAATTTATAAACTTGAGAATGAATGTTTAATGAAAAATAAAACAGCATAAAAAATTTTAACAATAGAGTCATAATATAAATATTTCTTAAATATGTTGTTTACATGAAGAAAATAATCACCCTCGAAATAAATAATCTTTTCCAACGAAAATCGAAAAAAGGAAAGATTATGCGAGTGAATTAGAAAGGAAAAAACATTTTAATATCACAAATCAAAATTTCTAACCTCAGATTCATGCAATATTGTTGGATAATGAAAAGAGAACTTTTTTCTCTATTGGAAAGAATATTTGTTATTCAAATGATATTGATATATCATGTTATTTAATATGTTGATAGTACAGTGTATTTTTCTTCAATATATTTCTTAAAGAGGTAGGTTTACCTCCCTTTACGGGCTGGCCATTGACCCCCTCTTTCCATACAGTACCGACCAGACCCAACCTGACACCGAAGCAGTCCCAGAAAGCAGTCCCCGGGACTGCTTTGGGACCGCTCTGGGACTGCTGTGGGACTGCTCTGGGACCGCTGTGGGACTGCTCTGGGACCGCTGTGGGACTGCTCTGGGACTGCTATGAAAAGCAGTCCCAGCAGTCCCAGCTGCCCCTGGGACTGCTTTCTGGGACTGCTTTGTTCACTCGTGTGTGACATTGGTTCTGAGTGACAGATAGCTCCGCCCCCTTGTGTATTGTGAATTTGCAGGTTTCATGTTGTTTTGTTTACTTGCAGCAGAGAGGAGTTTAAACTGTTTAATAAGCAAGGATTTCTTATAATCTTTTAATAACTTGAGATTACATGTATTATAGTCAATTTATAGTTTTAGGGACTGTATATTTACACATATGTAATATAGAATATTTTTTAAAATAAAGTTGTTAAACAAGGAAGTCAGGAGGAGATTTTTATTTCTAAAATATATAAAACTACAGGCTCATGAGAAAAAAATATCTACATGTAGATTTATTTTATTATTAAATCTAAAATTAAATACGTGACATTTTCATTTGGCACTATTTATATACAAGTAGATATAAGATATTTTAATTGAAAAGGCTACACGTTTTACAAGCATCACGCTAAAAAAGTATTACATGTAACCCTAAAATAAAAAATCTAACAATTTATTTTATGACATGAAATAAAATTATGCCACCATTCTTCCTTAACATAAGCAATGTGAACAATTATACGGGAATTTACAGATGAATTAGTTTTTAATTTATAAATAAGTTATTAAAAGAGTAAATTAAAAAAATAAATAAATAATCAGTTGAAAATACCGGGAATTGTGATCTATTTCTTTTTTGTTGTGCTTTTGTTTACCTGGCCGATAATGTGTATAAATAAAATGGTATGTAAACACCTGCACGGTTTCAATCGCCTTTGGGCAGAAAACCAATCATGCATGTTATTTGGGTACACGTATCAGTGTTACACATCATTGAACATGCTGCTCAATTAACAATGGCCCTAATTTCAATCTATGTAAAAAATGTAATGCAAAAAAAAAAAAAGATAAATGAAATGAGTATAAATTTCTTTCAAGATTAATTAAAGTTAAACATAATCTTATGATTCTATACTGGTCACTTATACAATTTACAAATAAAACAATAATTTTTAAATTAACATGTAAGTAAAGAATAATCAATACTTAAAAAACATTACTTTGCAAAATTAGCAACGAATTTTTCAAAAGCCCTAATACTTTAAAAAAAATGCCTTAAGAGTACCCCGATAGTATGGAAATCGGCCTGATCTATAATGATAAGATCTATTAAAAACTTATTCTGATGAAATATATTTAATTCAATTTTAATTTTCTGTATAGAAAATAAAAATGGGATCCAGTATCAATCACATAAAGCCCAAGATAATTGTGATTAAATATTCATGTTCAGTGTAATTCATTTATGTAGGTTTGTAAGCTTTAATTCTTCCTTCAATAAATATTATTTCAAATTATTTCAAATCTATACGGGTACTGCTCATGTAAATGACCTTCGCATTGTAAGGATTCCTTGCATACTGCTCAGAAAAAAATTCAGCTGCCTTTTATAGTTCCATTGTTTATTGGCAATCTCATTTCTGAGTTAGCCCCGCCCATTAAATTAATAAACCCCGCCCACTGGGACTGCTGGGACTGCTTTCTGGGACTGCTGGGACTGCTTTCTGGGACCGCTGGGACTGCTGGGACCGCTCTGGGACTGCTGTGGGACTGCTCTGGGACCGCTGTGGGACTGCTCTGGGACTGCTGCGGGACTGCTTTAGCAGTCCCAGAAAGCAGTCCCCGGGACTGCTCTGGGACTGCTTTGTGTCAGGTT